AAATCTATTTAATTTTTTTTTAGTTATTTAGAATTAATATAAATTTGTTTTTAAAGTATGCAATCTGAAAAGTATTTAGACACCAAATATATATAGAGGTGAGTCAATAGAAATGCATCAGATTTTTTCTAAGTTTTTGAAACTTTAAACAAAAATAACTCAACAAAGACTAAACAAATTTAATAAATGTTTTTAAAATTAATTCTAAAATCTTATAGAATTTTATTTTTTAAAAAAATATTAAATTTAGATATATTTTTGTCATTTAATCTTTGTTTAAAGTTGCAAACCTATTTCACTAAAAAATATCTGGTGCGTTTCTATTGACTCAGCCCTATATATTTTTAATATTAATTATTTTAACTATGCCTTTGATTTTTTGCTTAAAGGTGATTTATTGAATTTGAGATATGAATCCGTAAAAGAATTATCGAGCATCTTTAAAGTAAATTTATATTTACTTTTATATTTTAATTTGCACATCAAATTTACATACTTCGATTTAGCAATAAAATTCTTGCTTAATTGTTGCAAGAACAAAGTATTTGTGCTACTCCCAAATCCATAGAGCCTAATTGTTAAGGTTCTTGCACTGCCACTGTAGCCATGAAAACCTTTAAAATTCTTATTCAAAAATATAATCTATGTGCAAACAACTTAAATAAATATCTAGAATTTTGAGATATTCATCAGCCTTATTTAGCTCATAAATTTTTTTAAAGCTTTGTTAACCCATTATGGCATTTGTTGTAATATAGTATGTTAAAAATGACATGTTTATTTTATCGATAGGATATTATATAATAATAAAATTTCCAATAAATTGTCTATTGACTTAGAAGTACTGTATTGATTTAAATATTATTGATAAATTGAATTTGGCAAAGAAATTAGATTTTAAAATAAAATCATAACTATATCATTAATATGATTATCTGTATTTGTGAAAAATATGATTGTTAATAACGCGATTTTGTTTATCAATTATTCATTTTTAAAAAAATATGATTGGTCAGTATCACGATGTTTATCAATTATCCATTTTTGTAAAATACAAAAAAATATGATTGGTCAGTATCACAATGTTTATCAATTATCTATTTTTGTAAAATACAAAAAATTATGATTGGCCAGATCACGATGTTTATCAATTATTCATTTTGCAAAAAAAATACAAAAAAATATAATTGGTCAGTATCGAAGTATTACTGAATATCTAGCAGCAACCATTTCATTTTTGATTATTGCTGGTTTACTTTTATGGTAAATTGTGGCTAATTTTACTAATATTTTATTTACACAACTTGCAACCTTTTCACTCTTTGCAAATTCACGATTCTAGTTATTTGCTTCTGGGTTTACTTCTTGTTTCTCTTCACTAGTATCTTGATTGATCGATAATACAGGTTTTGCATATCAAGTTTGTACAAACTGAGAGTCAAATTCATACAAAACTAATAGTTAAATTCATACAAATTGACAGTCAAATTCATACATAACGCTTTTAATTAAATCACAATATCTTGTAATCTAGCAATTTAACTTAAATAAATTTGGTACATTCAATTTGACTAAATAAAATGAATTAAATGGTATTAAAATTATATAATCTAGATCATTAGATCACAAGATATTGTGATTTAATTAAAAGTGTTATGTATGAATTTGACTGTCAATTTGTATGAATTTGACTGTCAGTTTGTACAAACTTGGTATAATATCGCAGCTAATGCTAGAATTTAGGTCAATTGTCTTAGACCTCTTTCAAAAAAAATAGAAAAGTAAACACTATTTATTTCTTGTAGATTCTTTAATGAGTTTGGGTTTATTAATTAAAAATATCATATCTCACTTTGTATTTATCTATTCTCCAAAGTATATGTCTCGTCGCAAACAAGAAAGATTAATAGTAAAACAGTTCAAAAAATAATGAGTTGAGCACATGCTAGGTTTAGGAAGCGATTGATATCTAAAATAGAGGAATTTAGCAAAGTTGTAATAATATCTGTTTTAGAAGCATACACAAGTAAAACATGTAGCAGATGTGGTTACATTTAATTAGTACCATCCTACCAGTTCAAAATTGTTTTCAAATGCTGCTTTTCTATAATAACAAGCTTCATTGTCGAATAAGTATTGTAATAATGAAAAAATTCATTTACTTTATCTTTTGATATTTGTTTATATTTCTCGTTTATTTTATTCAAAGCTTGTTTTCGTTTCTTGAGATTGTTGTAATATAATTGTAAAAAATAAAATTTCTCAGTTGAATCGAATAGTTGTTTGTAAATTTTTTCATAACTTTCGGGTTCAAATTCTTGTATATATTCATTTATTGAACTTTTGGGATTTAATTTAATATCAAAATACACTGATCCTATATCAATATTTATAGTAAACTTTTTCCTATCCAAACACAGTTTGTAAAGATAATATATATATTTTTGTCTAAAAGTAGTAGAATCGATCGCATAATAAACAAAGAAAATGTTTGATTCTGATTGGTTAAGTAAACTTGAACGATTCAACATCTCTTATGAAGTTGTTTGTTTCTTTATTTTCTAATTTATAGTAGTATTTTAAGCATTCATCAGAGTGAACTAAAAGTATATCATTTTGTATATTTTTGAAGTTATGTAGAAATTTTAAGTATTCTAATTGTTGTGATTTTAATATTTCTTTTAATTTGTTTTGGTTATTATAGTATAAGTATAAAGGTTGAAGTTCTAGGGATATTCCTTTCAGGCTTTGCTTGATAGAAGCCATAGTTATGTAAACATAGCTATACTAATTGTTTATTGGCAGGATAAATTTACTTCAAGTTTGAACGAAGGTTTCTTAACAATCACCTGATCAAATTTGATGAATTTTTTTTATTTCATTTGTATTTAGCTGCAGAATCAAAAATAAAAAAAATTCATCAAATTTGGTTAGGTGGTTGTTGAGAAACTTTCGTTCAAAGTTTCAAAAAAATTTCAAATACTAATTCTTTGTAGTAGAATAAATTTTCTTCAACTTTGAGCGAAGGTTTCTCAACAACCACCTGACAAAATTTGATGAATTTTTTTTTATTTCAATTGTATTTAGCTGCAGAATCAAAATAAAAAAATTATTGGATTTTATTAAAAATTTATTGTATTATCTTCGATTAAAGTTTAAAAATTGCACCAAATTTGATTTACAAATGGGATTAGTAAGTAAATTTGATTAGTCAATCTTGTCAATCAGTCACGTGCAAGTACTTTTTTACTGGGTACGCTAGAGTAGTTATCACATTTTCACAGCTTACAAATAAATGATTTTCTTATTGATTTAGCGCTAAAAAAAATGTTACTTGAAAACAAGATAATAAACTTTAATACACTTTCTATTAGCTCTAATCTCATTTTAACAATATCTTTAATAATCATTCTTTTTTTAATATATCATTTCATAAAGTTGCTGTTAAACCTTTTCAAAATATTAATAAATAAGTTTTTAAGATAAAGAGATGTTTGACTTTTCTACAAAATTTTTAAATGTCATTAACATTGTGATAATGTTTTCGTTATACATCAACATCTCACAAAATTACTCAAAAGAATATAAGATACTGCATTTTATTGGCCGGGACTGAGAGAAGCAAAGTGAAAGGCTTTCAACTGCGAATTCGGCCAACATGGGTTTCTCTGACATAATGTCAATATAATTTACCTTAATACACTCTTTAGTTTATTCCTACGCTTTTTTTTACCATATTTATTATTGTATTTTTTGTTTTTTTTTATTATTACTCCTTTACCCTTTTTACAAATTTTCTGAAACAGGAATATAGCCATGATGACAAGGTTTAATCTTACAAAAATATGCGTATAAAGATTTACTTAAGTCGATCAAGCTTTTCAAAAAATAAATTAAGACAGAAATTCAGTTGATTGGCTGATATAAATTAACTTATTTATACACTTTAAAGTATTTTTTAAGGACATAAAATTACACAAGCAAAAAATCACCGCAAACATCATTTCAAAGAGTGCGAAAGTTAACTCTAAAATTAATCTTTCATAATCTCTTATTTAGAGAAGTTAGCTTAGGCACAACTTTCTGAACTAGGCAAAGAAAAAAGAGACTTCGCATGAATTTTAACATGACCAAAAAAAAATAGTTACTAACAAAATAGCTGGTTTTTTTTAGAATTGAAATTTTAAGTTTGGTTTTTGAAGCAGAATAAGCTTGTAAGCAATAAGAGATCCAGTTTAAGGCACTCTTAAATTGGTTTGGTTTTAAGTTTGAGTTTATAGATCGTAGATATGAGTTTGGATTCATAGATAGTTAGATTAGTAAGTTCTAGTTAAACATTGCTAAAGAATTTGTTAAAAGGTATTATAAATATTTAATTATTATAAAATTAAACTTAATAAATTGCTAAATTAGATTTATAGAGCAAATAATAATTAGTTAAGTCATATATATTGGGTAATACAAGATTATTAGTAACTAACATATTTTTAAGAAAGATATTAATCTTTATTATTGTTTAATATTTGTGATTCTTCTAATTTTATTATTTAAAAAAAGCTATTAACCTTTTTTTATTTTAAAAAAAAGAAGAATAATAATAATTTGATTTTATCTATAAGAAGTTAAATTTTTTAAATATAAGAGGTCTGTTTTGATAATAAATTATATAATACAACTTATACTTCTTATACGTAGTATGTCCTGCATAAGTTTTTTTTACATTGATGTTAAATGTTACAAGGAAATTTTATCATACATCAAATATACTATTTGAAAAGTGTCATTAACGTTAATGCTAAACATTAGTTATTCATACAGTCTCTATATAGGATTCAAATTGTCTCATAAGTACCAAAATATTCTTTATATGTCTCTAGTTAAAATTTTAATACACATTTAATGTTTCTAATATGACAAGATCGATTATTTCTTTTTCACTATCTTTTTGTTTTTCTACGTTGTAATTCTCTAATCTCACTATTTCTATATATTTTAAATATTTAGCTTTTTCTTAAATTTGAAAGTAGATTAAGCTCAATATTAAAAGGTAATATAAACACTTCTAACTTCACTCTTTCTATATCAAACTCTTGAAAAAACCAATTTAAGTTTTTGTAACTATAATCATAAATATTAAGTAAGCTAAGAACTTTTAAAGAGCAAGATAAAAATTTGATTAAAGCTTGTAGATAATCTTGACTACTATAATAAGCAAATCTTCCTATTTGTAATTGACAAAGACTATGAAAATTTTTAAGTGTAGAAGAAAACATAAGATTATTAGTCACATAGCATAAAGTAGTTATGTTTGGATAATTTTGACTAAGCAAAAAAATAAATTCCTCTTTTACTTTGTTACTCAATTCCTTCTCATTTATCATAAAAAATTTTAGTGATTTGCTTTTTGCCTTAAGTATAATTCTAATTAATTCTATAGTATTATCTATTAATTCGAATCTTTGAAGATTTTGTAAATTATTTTCATCTTCTCCAAAAGGATTTCCAAAGGAATGCTTTATTGATAAAACCTCTATTTTCGGTACAAGATTTGCAAGATTATTTTTGTCAAACTTGATTCCTTGCAAAATTAGTTTTCTAAGGCTTTGAGATTTTACTTGCAGCATTTCATATCGCAGTAAAGGTGTAAAACTAGAAGTAGTAATACTAAAATATTTTTCATTTTCATTTTCATTAAGATAGAAAAGATAAATAGATATGATATTTATTGAATGTTTGGATATATTATATAAAGGGTTAGCCTATAACAGAGGTACTGTAATGTGACAAAATAAGCAATTAACTAAGAGGCAATTATATAAAGTGTGGTAATGATATTCAAAGTTTTTGATAATTTCTAAATACAATCTTTTGTTAATTTTGTTAATTTCATTTTGATATATATTTTAATACAGTATATAGAAAATACAGGTTTATATAATATACAATGCTATTCAAGAATAATTGTCACAATATGCATAATTAAATTTTTTTTATTAGTAATCCCTCTTAGTTTTAGCACTCTTGTACAATACAGATAATTAGATTTTTTTTAATTTAAATATGAATTATTTAATTTCAATATCAACAAATTGAAATATAAATTATTTGGACTGAAGATAACAGTTGGTCATGTAAAAGTTTTTAATAGATAAAATGATTGATGCACCTAAATTTTATAAGTAAAATTTAGCATTAGCAAAATTTCCTTCCTTAAAAGAAGCTGTTGGTTAGTTTTTGGTTGTCATTTTGCAAGGTTCTTAAATAAATATAGTGTTAGTGCACTATTTAAGGATTTTATATATACTCACTGTATTATCAAATACCTAAATACACAACTCTTAATATTTTTAAAAAATTATAAATATAGAACAAAAATTGTAAAAAAGAACAATTATTATTAGAAATATGAGTAAAATACCTTCAGGTAAAAGTTGGAATATCTAAATTAGACCTTGCAAAACAACTACTATATATTCCGCTAGCATAACCCATATCTGCAGAGCTTTGATAATAGTTAAATACTATTAGTTCATCCTTTTTAATCCCAATACCTTTTTTATAACAATAACCAACATTATATATTCCATCAGAATAGTCCATTTCAGCAGATTGTTGATAGTAAATAAACATTTTATATTTATTTTTTTCAACACCAATTCTATATTGATAGATAAAAATTCGTTCTTCGCTTTCTACAAATAATTTATCAATATTCACAGAGATATAAATGTTGCTACACCAGCAAGATAATATGAAAAATAAGATTTGATTCACATGACCTAATTTCAAGCCTCAATGTAATATCATGTGATTAAGTGCATAAGAGAGCTAGTGTTTGGAACTGGTTTATTTTTCATGATATAATATCGTATTTTAATGGTGAAGGAGAAATAATTTAATTCAATTGACAAAAATTACATACAATTTATTTATCAATTAATGCCTTTTTAACAATCTAATTTTTTTTAAGAGGTAAATTTAAATCAATTCAAAATTCTATTACTAAATCTCAATTACATCTTTTTATTTTGTATTCAAATTTGTTAAAAAAATCACTTTAGATGTTATTAAATTACCTAAGTTAATTTTAATGAGAGCGTCCAGCTCGCTATAAAATATTTTTTTTGTATTGTATTTTATTTAATAATGGTTACAATACAAAAAAAAAATATTTTTAGAGCGCAAGCTAATTTATGCGCCACTGAATTCTGGATACTCTAATCGAGAAATGTCTCATGATGCAAATGATGAGGAATTTGTTCGACAACTTGAAAATCTTGAAGCAATCAACTCAAATTATGCAACAGAATCTATTTAGACATCTTTTAGGTATCTTGTTGCTTTTCGATCTATTGGAAGTATAGACGCTAACATTGGAAAACAGATTGAAGCTGAAGCCAAAGCCTATAATGAAGCAAAAAATCATGAGGTTTGCTCAAGGTAAATATTTCTATAACTCAGTTGAAAGTTTGTAAGTATTTTATATACTCATCACTATTGTTTGTATCATTTTTTTATAATTTTAAAAGTATTGGTCCAGTAAATTCAATCAAAATCGAGAATGTCTTTTGATATGCATTTGGAGTAGTATAGATGAAGCAGTTGAAGAAAGTAAAAAACCTTGTTATGCTTTTTTAACAGGATTGGCTAGTGCGAATTATGAAACATATCAATTAGAGAAGTACAAACTGAAAAAGACAAAGGGTGAGATAAAGATTAATATTATTCAACTTAAAATTTATTATCACAAATCACATGACTCGTAACATAATAGTTATTCATACACTTTATTAGTTATTTTCAATTCTTTTACATTTCATGAATTAATATTTCTTAATTTCTGCATTTTGCATGATATTTAAACTTTAAATTTTTTACAATATCTATAAAATCTTTTTTTTTTGTACCTTTCAAAGCTAAACTTATGTAAAGAAATTTTTACTTATTCGTTTTTTTGTGATACTATAGCATGCACTCAAAATGCAATATAATCGTTCAAGGAAGAGGATTACGGAGATAAACTAATTTATTCTCATAATCACAATAGATTAGGTATTAAGACTTAGATAAAGCTTTCAGTGCCATCAACATAACCGCTAGCATTAGAATTAGTGTTGGCATATATTTATTACTACGCAATGTAGCAATGAAATTTATATAAAATTTTTTTTTGCTATAGTACTGTACGTTATCGTTATAGTTAATTAATGTGGCAGCTTATGCTGAGATTTTAGATCTCTATTAAAATCTATAATACTTGCTAAAATCTACATATACTCTTTTATTAATAACCTAACCCTAAAGTCTACCTAAACACAAAAAAAAGGTACACAAAAAGCTTAAAAAATTTTTTAAAATTTCATAATAAAATAATTCAAATCTTCAGCATAAGCTGCTACAATTAATAATAGAGCTACAAAATTAATATTAGTTATAACAGTTTTTTTGGCCTTGGTATCAAAAATTAAATGATTATAGATTGTTAAAGCATTAAATAGAATAACTGAAATAATATTATATAACAAGACATGAAATTTATTTATATCGATATTAATTCACTAGCGTCAATAAACAGTTCATATAACTCCAATCACATGGAATGCAAATGATAAGTTCTCTCTCTTAAATGTGGATTCAAATGGACTTAAAGTAAATTATACAGGTGAGAACACAATATATTTTTATATGCATAAAAAAAAAGCACTTGAAAATTCATAATTATCAAGATATTTTGCATAAAAAATTAAAGATACATAATTTACTACCTTGTTAAATTTTTTTTAAAATAAAAAAGGTCATAGCGAAAATAGTATATTTACTTGCTGCAATAAAAATATTGCAGAAGGTTGCAAGTTTATTATTGAAGCTAAACGTCTTGGCCTTCCTAATATGAAAAGATGGACAAAAGATCATGGTTGAAAAAAATAATTATGGTGCAAGAGAGGCATCCAAACTATTTGTATAAATAATTTTAAACTTAATGTTAAGAATTATTATGATTTTAAATTTTAAATTCGATATATAGGTTGTATCATCACTTCTGATACATTATATTTTATAAAATAAATTAAAAAGCTTATTAATAATATTAAATCTAATGACTGTTATTTTAAACTATACTTTTAGGATTATATATACTATAATATTAAGATTTAAAAATAAATTTATTATATTTTAATTAAATATTTTTTCTTATCAATTTACAAATTTATAAAAAATATTTAAATT